AGGAGACTCACTTGAGCCCAGGAGTTGGAGGTTGCTGTGAGCGTGATGCCATGGCACTCTACCCAGGGGGATAGCTTGAGGCTCCGTCTAAAAAAAAAGAAAGGAGAAAATGATAAATGGAAGGAAATTTAAGAGTTATTTTCAGGCAGCGCCCATAGCTCAGTGTATAGAGTGCCGGCCACATACACAAAAGCTGGCAGGTTTGAGCCCAGCCCGGGGCCAGCCAAACAACGACAACTACAACAAAGAAAACAGCCAGGCGTTGTGGCAGACATCTGTAGTCCCAGGTACTTAGGAGGCTGAGGTAAGTGAATCACTTAAGCCCAAGAGTTCGAGGTTGCTGTGAGCTGTGACGCCATGGCACTACTGAGGGTGACAACTTGAGGCTCTGTCTCAAAAAGCTATAAATAAATAAATATATAAAATGCAGTCTTTATCTTTCACCACTGTGTCCTCTCACAGGAGGTTTGGATCTCAATCCTGGGGCTTTTTTGGGTGTTTTGTCTGAGCCTAGGCTGAATAGTCTGTAAGCTGTTCTCTATATCTGCTTAGAGTTCTCTATTCCTTGCTACCAAATCCTCATTCCATTCTCTGTTAGAGTTACTAACTCCTTGCTGATGGTCCCCAACTCACAATGTTTGACATAATGGTTTTTTTACTTTTTTTACTTTGACTGTGAAAGTGAGCTGTCCCTCAAGTAACCATACAACTACTCCATTTTTCACTTTCAGTACAGTATTCTATATATTACATGAGATATTCAACACTTATAAAATAGACTTTGTGTTAGATGATTTTGTTCAACTGTAGGCTAAAGTTTTAATTGTTCTGAGCACGTAGACTAAGCTAAGTTCAGATGTTTGGTAGTTTAGGTGTATTAAATGTATTTTTGACTTACGTGTGTGTATATATATATACATATATATATATTTTTTATTTTTATTTTTTTTTTTTTTTTTGAGACAGTCTCAAGCTGTCACCCTGGGTAGAGTGCTCGCATCACAGCTCACAGCAACCTCCAACTGCTGGGCTTCTTGCCTCAGCCTCCCAAGTCGCTGGTACTACAGGTGCCTGCCACAATGCCCGGCTATTTTTTGGTTGCAGCTGTCGTTGTTTGGCGGGCCCGGGCTGGATTCGAACCTGCCAGCTCAGGTGTATGTGGTTGGCACCTTAGCTGCTTGAGCCACAGGCACTGAGCCTGTATTTTGACTTTTGATGTTCTTAATTTATGATGGGTTTATGAGGATGTAGCCCCATTGGAGGTTGAGGAGTATCTATATATTAAACTTTCTCTATTCAAATGTCTTCCTTTTTTTTGAGATGAGGGTCTCACCATGCTGTCCAGACTCATCTCAAACTCCAGGGCTTAAGCAGTCCTCCCACTGCTGCAGCCTCCCAAGCAGTGGGGATTGTAGGCATGAGCTACTGCACCTGGTTCTCTCTCAAATTTCTATATGGCTTCTGTCTCCTGGATTATGATATAATACTTATCAACTTTCCCATTTCAAAAATTTTACAAATAAAAGACAAGGGAGAAGATAACCTGTGTCACCTTCCAGTACTTTCACCCTCCAGTGGGTGGCCCCTATTAATGTTATAGTGCTAAACAAATTTCATTTTTTATTTGGAATATTAAATCATATAGGCACTTTAAAACAGAAAACAATACAGAACGGGAAAGTGAGAAATAAGAATGCCTTCCAGGTCCACTTCCCAGAGGTAACCACTTACTAAGATCATGTATATCCTTCCAGAATCTTTTTTCTTTATTAAGACCTAATTGACAAATAAAATTTACATATGTTTAAGGTGCAACATACATGTGCAGTGTGATGTTTTGACATACCTTCTGGAGGGGCAGATGATTACCACAATCAAGCCAATTAACATATTCAGAAAATAACTTTTTTTTTTTTTTGAGACAGAGTCTCACCCTGGGTAGAGTGCTATGGCATAATAGCTTACAGCCACCTCAAACTGTTGGGCTCAAGCGATCCTCAGCCTCCCAAGTAGCTGGGACTACAGGCACTTGCCACCACGCCCATCTAGTTTTTCTATTTTTTTTTTTTTTGAGATGGAGCCTCAAGCTATCCCCCTGGGTAGAGTGCCGTGACATCACAGCTCATAGCAACCTCCAACTCCTGGTCTCAGCCTCCCAAG